TTCCACTGCAAAAAAACTGGCCCTGGGCTAGAAAAAGAAGGTCCAGCATGGCACAGAAAAGCTGGTCTCAGAATTTGTAAGGGTGATAGTGGGAAGGGCTATTGTATCCAAATCTCCTGCATCCCTGGAAAATTCAATTCATAACCAATATAGTTTCATCTAATATTGCCGATGCTGACTGGGAAACAACTTGGCAGCTTATTAGCACAATAATGTTTCATCATGTTTTATTCTGTGAAAAAGGAAAAGCTCAATCTGTTGGCCAGATTTAATAATAAATTATAAACATGTCACTGGTCAAATAAATATTGCGGTGCTTGAGTGGCGAAGCGATCATGAGGCGGATAGCAAAATTCTTTTTTAATAATAATAATAATAGATATGTTACTGATCCCCGTGGGGAAATTGTCTTTATGCCTCCCCCAACTTACTCTTTGCAGGCAAGAGTAAGCTGGCTGTGAAGGGCAGCCACCTGTTGGAGTGCCCAGGGAGCTGGGAGTTAAAGGCCTTGCTCAAGGACCCGCAGATGTGCAGAAGCTGAGGTTGAACTGGCAACCTTCTGATTACAAGCACACAGGCTTAGTCCACTGAGCCACATGCTCCCACTGTGGGGTAGCAGAAACTTTTCATGTGTGATCCTTAAAAGCAAGAATAAACTCAGACTGGGGAGAATATGAAATTTAACTCACAGAGACTGAGGAGAAATACAGTCTTTCAGGAGACAAAAGTGGATACAGGCAATAGAAACAGAGTGCACCAAGTCATACTCTGAAAACTGTGTGACTTATAGGCTCATTTTGTTCGGTTCAGCAGCTTATAAAGACTTAAAATTCCAAAGCAGCCTAAAATAAATGTACCATCCTCTGCAGAGCTATGTGGTCCAGGGCAGAGCAGTTACCAAACCAGACTGTGATTCCCGTGGTGAGGATGCTGCCCAACGGTCCTGAGTAAGAGGCTCTAAGAATGACTGGTGAGACTTTGAACCTCCTCAGCTGCCTGGCCAGGTGAGGTCATCAAACTCTGAGATATATAAAGGCATTAAAAGACATGGCAACCTGGGCTCAGAATACAGCCTGGGGGCGTTAATATTGAGGGAGCCAAAGTACAGGATCCCTCTCTCACCACCTGGGGTCTGCCTGTGAGAACAGAGGGGTGCATTCAGAACAAGGTTCTTGAGTTTGGAGAACAATGTGAGGGGGTTTTGGTATTGAGCTGGGCTAAAATCTACAGCATTCTCACATANTGGTATTGAGCTGGGCTAAAATCTACAGCATTCTCACATAGTTCCCCCTCTCACTGTCCAGATGAGTGAGAATAATGTGAAGGACATAATGTCACCATTGTTGGACCTATATGTTCTCCTCTAAATATTTTTTATCAGCACTAAAAAAAGACAAATGGTAGGTATGTCATGTAAATAAAAGAAAGCAATACTTAAGTAAAACATATCAAAATTAATTTGAGTTTCTAAAGTTAGACTGTGCTGTATTGTGTTTCAGTATTGTGTGTTCTTCGTTTTTTGTTAGGCTGCACTAGGTATCACAAAAGGATATTGCAGGCATTCAGTTGTAGATCCAGTGTTAGTAGTTAATGCTAGTGATGCCCAAAACGACAGTTCATTAACCATTTGATGTGTTTTTGACCCCACTAGATGGTGGTCTCTATTCAAAAGAGCAAACCAAGAGCACTACAGTGGATATAAAAAGTGTACACACCCCTGTTAAAATGGCAGTGTCACATTCAGAACAGGGAAACAGTCGACGGAGCCGTGGAGACGGATGAACGGGTTTATTCCAGGCTGACACATTCCAAAACACACAATAACATCAGTAACATCAATGACCGGACTGGGGAAACATACTGTACTTAAACGCGGACTTACCGGACTGGGGAAACATACTGTACTTAAACGCGGACTTAATTACATTGGACTAATGACAGCAACAACAAACAGCTGGTAAACACCGGGAATCCACACGGGGTAGATGAGGGGGCGTGGCACACGGGATGATCGGATGAGCGGGGCATGACAGGCAGGTTTTTGTGATGTAAAAAAATGAGACCACGATCAACCATCTCAAAACTTTTCGCACCTTTAGTGTGTCCTACGTATAACCTGTACACATTTGCAAAACAAACAAATCTGTTAGGGGGGAAATTAAAAATAAAAAACATACAATGAGCTGGTTGGGTAAGTGTATACACCCTTAAACTAATACGTTGTTGAAGCACCTTTTGATTTTTCATGTCAAATGCAATGGCTGCTGTTATCCAATGTATTTTATAACAAAGCCACCAAATAGGAAATGAGGTCATATCTCAGCAATGGTTTGGATATATCAAAACCAAATTTGGCATGTAATATTACCACTAGGGGGCGCTGCAATAAAAAAAATCAGTTTTTTATCAAACAACTGTTGATTGCTTTGAGTTAGTAAAATACCTCTTATGTTGGCTGATATCATTGGATGTCCGGGGGAGGCGGGGGACATCGAGTCCGAATGGGCCATGTTCCGCGCCTCCATTGTGGAGGTGGCTGACCGGAACTGTGGCCGTAAGGTAGTCGGTGCCTGTCGCGGCGGCAATCCCCGAACCCGCTGGTGGACACCTGTGGTGAGGGAGGCCGTCAAGCTGAAGAAGGAGTCCTATCGGGCCTATTTAGCTTGTGGGACTCCGGAGGCAGCTGATGAGTACCGGCGGGCCAAGCGGAACAGCAGAGGTCGCTGAGGTGGTTAAAAAGCTGCAGGGGGGTGTCTTGTGTTTGTTTAAATGTATATTTACCTTTGATCTGTAGGAAAAGGTCCCTCTCTGAAGCTGATTGGTTCAGTCATTGACCCATCACTCTCCATGGAAATATAGCTGGGTACAGGTGAGCCTGCTCTCTCCATCAGGACACTGTGGGCAGCGAGAGGAAAAATCCTCATTATATAAATATAATTCATATAATGTGGACAGCGTCACATTTAATCTTCAGTTGTTTAGCCTTCTGCTCTGCCTTCATGTACTTTTATATCCAGTGAAGCTCTTGATGCAAACAGACTTGTTTCCAGCTAGTTTTAATGTGAAATAAATCCTCTCATTCAAAGTTAAGATTCCAATATTAAAGGTTTAGTATCATTTTTGCAGCCTCCTTTACTAGATTTGGGTGTTCTTGCTTTTTCTTGTTCATCGATTAATTTGTTTATATATTAATTTGTTAGTTTGCACTCCTTCACAATTAGTGACCATTTTGATAGGAGACAAGATCTGATGCTTGCCTCTATTATCAAAGAACTGTCTGATTGTAGCAGAAAAAGGAGAAGAAAGAAGATGCAGAAGTATTTTATTAAATGCACATTTACCTTTGATCTGTAGGAAAAGATGCGTCTTTGAAGCTGATTGGTTCTGCCATTGACCCGTCACTCTTCATGGAAATAAAAACTTCTTCATTTATATAGATTTCAAAATGACAATATCTATAAAAAAGCATTTAAAACATGTTTATTATACATGAAGTTTAGGAGGGTGTTTCAAACTGGTAGCCCTTCGTATGGCTAGTATACCAGTGAAGTAGCTCTCAGTTTCAAAAAGGTTGATGACCCCAGCTCTACCTTGATTCAGCCTATTTTAGCCAGACAGCTATAACTCAGCCATTCCTTGTCCTACCTTAACCAAATTTGAAATCCTTTCTCCCAAAACCATTCTGGGGAAATAGTACAAGGCGGGCCGCAGTTCGTCCACAGGGGACGCTACAACTATATCTCCGATATCTCCTGACGTTCTTGGCCAATCCAAGTGAAATTTGGCAGATATGTACTATGACCAAGCTTGAGGTCAGACATTTACTGCAGTAGTCATAAAACCCTGGTCACTATCAGCCAATCAAAATCAAGAAGCTATTTGACAGACAGCAGTCACCAATCCAACCCAAAACTGGAAGCTTCATTTTCATACAAACCATCAGCCCACCTTGGCAAGGGCACCCCAGTCTGAGAAGATGGGGACGCTACAGCAACAACTTTTCTGCCTATATCTGCTGAACTTTCAAGCTTACAGCTGAAATGTTAAATCAAAAAATATATAAAACTTAATTCTACCTCTTTTGATTTTTGCCTATTTCGTAAGAGTTTGAAAATAGGTTTTTCAAACTCGTCCGAGGAATTTCACACAGCCTATATAAATATGGTATCATTCGAATCAGCAGAAAATAAAAATAATTAATAATTATAAATAATTCTTTTAAAAATCGTAAACTTTCTGTAAGGTACGGCCCCCAGCCACACCCAGACCATATCAGTGTCACGCTCATTTCTATCAGACAGCTGTATCCTATGCGTGCTTCAGCTAGCCATCACCAAATTTGACTATCTACTGTAGGAGGGTACTGGGGAAGGACATCAGTCAATAGGGGGCGCTACAGCAATGTAACATGTGCCTCTAAACCTGCAAAACTAGTGCAACTGACATTTTCCTCATTTCTCTTTGAATAACATATATTTGGTTAAAATCCTTTGTCCTTTCAATTCCATAACTCATGCAACATCAAAATTCATATACTGTCCAATGACAGCCATTTGCATTTCCTCGTAATGTTTAAAAATTCAATAAATGACATATTCCTATTACTCTTACAATCTCCACCCCACCTAGGTAATTCTGCCCTTATGGATGATTCATAAAAAAAACTTGACCTGCCTGTACAGAACGGCCACCAGCCACACTCAACCTGCACCATTTCCATGCCCATTTCAATCAGACAGATATATCTCAGGCATGCTTCAGCCAATCCTCACCAAATTTTACTCTGTACTGTACTCCAGGGGTCCAGACAGGCCCTCCGGCTTTGGTGCCAATCGGTCAATAGTGGGCGCTACGGCCACTGTGCATATTTGGCCCACCTTGGCTAATTCATCTGAAAAATCCGTATATCTCTTAAATTTAAGTAGAAGACTTATCTTCAAACAGTTGTCACTGTTGTGTTCAGCTGAGTCATGATTTTTAATTGCATTTCATTTTACTGGCATTTGACTCACAAATTATCAGACTTAATTTACATATCAGCCTATGCAGTATTAGTTTCAATAAATCAGTCAGTAGGTGGAGTCAATGCTCCATTTCATAAATGCCATTTGATGCTTTAAGGCCTTCTCATGTCTAAATGAAGCTTCTACAAAGAGTACAAAGTGTGATTGTAGTGCTGTTATATGGAGCAGCCCCCAAGACAACAATGTTGTTCTGAACATGCAAGAAAGTCTAGGTTTACACAGCCAGCATAAACAAAGCTTAACATGTAAGATCTAGACCTACTACATTAGGTAGGAAGGTGCCTATTTCTACTCAATTCTCAGACCATCTGACGCAATTGACACCATCTTCTCGCAGAGAAGCCCAGGTTCGGGGGAACCTGACTGTCCTGCAGGAACGTACGCAGCCGGCTACACGATGGACGGATGGGAGAAGTGGAGGGTCATGTGTCTGGCAGCTCCTTCCGTGGAGGACATGGAAGATATCTACCTATTCGGAACCATGATTACAGGTCTGATGCTGATTGGATTAGGCATTGCCCTGGTTTATCGAAGATTGAAGAAAACGGTGACAGCCGCTCAAAGCCCCACTTGGCACTCAGACTGTGACTATAGATCGCAAATTGAATAACATCACGGAGAAGCTCACGGCTTTGCA